TAAATGTCACAGAATATTTAGTGTTCAGCTGAGCGCCTAGCCAAATAATCTGTATTCAGCAAAATCACTATTTATGACATCTCTATATTTTTCATTATACTGAAACTTCTTTTTTTAGAAATAAAGAATTTCCACATTATTAAAGTGCATTGTAATAATGATTTTTTATGTACATCTTAATGTTTTTTAATTTTGTTTGACAAAGTTGAAATAAAAAAAATTATTTTTATAATGTTAATTCAATGTTATTAATGATTCAACTGTCCATTTACATTATTTAAAATGTGGCTATAACGTTTAAAAAATGATATATTAGCATTTGGAAGAAAATGTAATCTTATTTTGAATTGAGAAGAAACGCGCTTCGAAATGCAACAACAACATTAAAAAAAAAAAACAGTACAGTGACTGTACTGTACTACAGTCGCACTTTGAAATATTAAACTGTGTGTCAACTTCTTTTTATTAAGTTAAGTAAAATTATATAACACAGTGTAGTGTACTAATTATTATAAATGTACTAAGTGTATACTACTTTAAATGATTTTTAAATTTTACTTTTTAAATAATTGCAAGGAATAAAATCTTAGCTCAAAATATTGTTTTATTAATAAACACACTTTTTTAAGTAACTGTCTGGTCGTCCTGCTGGGCTACTGACAGACATTTTTTTTAAATTTCAGTCAATTTTCAGCACATTTCTGAAATGTTTAAATCTTCAAAACATCTAAACAGTCGTTGTTAAATAGTCGACAAAAAAAAATCATTTGCATGGTCAGCAATAGCGTTCGATCACACACCACTTCTGTCAAAGCCTGATTAATACTTAACTCTACTTTTGATCAACTAAAATTCTATCTTTTAATTGGCTGCTTTTTTCTTTTCTTTTGCATTGTTTAATTTTATTTAAATTCTTTTTTTGTCTCTACAATATATTTGGTAAGCACATTTTATTCCAAATTTTATTCTTTGTGCTTTGATAAACTTTAGTTTTATTTCAGGAATTTTTAGACTTGCAGGACAATTATAGATTGTGGTAACAGCACAATAAGAATACTTAGAGTCAGAGCGATTTGGATCAAGGCTTGATCCAAATTGCTGTGATAAGGCCTATTTGAATACTGATATTCACTTTTTTAAACTGTGCAATAACTCAAAATCATTTTTAATACAGTATCATATCATTTTTAAAAACATTTTTAATACAGTATCAAAATCATTTTTAATACAGTATCATATCATTTTTAAAAACATTTTTAATACAGTATCAAAATCATTTTTAAAAACAGTATAATAAAATGGTTGAGTTATATTTTATGTACGTAAACTAATAAACAAACTTCATTTACAAGCTATTTGCATACATTTACATGAGTTTATTGGGAAAAATTCAGTCACACAAAAAATGTAATTTTTACTTATCAGGTTTGAATATATTAAAAAGAATAGATAAAAGTTTTGAATATTCTTTAAAAACGAATTTTTATTATTAAACGTAACAAAACCTTTTTCTTTTGCTTTTCATGATATTGCTTATCATGATGTTGCATAATTATGCAATAATATTTTGTTAAGCGTTTTTTAATTTTAAATATTCTTAGTCGCGTTTTTGCTTTACGTGCATAAAATACAACTCAACCAATAAAATAATAAAAAAAGTACGAAATAAATACAATTATAGGAAAATAATATATATATTAAAAAATTACAATACAATCGTAAGCTAATCTAACAAGATAACCTTTTTGCAGCTTTGTAAATTATCTTTTTTGACATAAACTAAAGATTGGAGCATTTTTTAACAAAAATAATTCCAAAACGTTTGTGACGCTTGGCAATTCAGAGGGTAATAAATCAGCACCAAGCTACTTGGGCAGCTGGTCCTTTTTATTTTGTTCATAATTTTTAATAAACTAGAAGAAATAAACTTATACATTAAATGTCTTGGATTTCCTAAAACATATACATGAACTTTGAATGTTAAGGAGTAAAAACTGAGACCTAGTCATTTAAAGTAATGATAAAAATATTTTTACAGCGTATTTAAAATCTCTTTGAACATGAGAATGTAATATTTAAATTTTCGATTTTACATCCTACTAATCAGCATAAAATTTTCGGACATCCCCCCCCCCCCCCCTCTTTATATTTTTCATACTCCTTTTCAAAATAAACTTTGAGAAAACCTGGTTTCTATCGACGCAAAAGAACAAAACACATTTCTGATTGATCTCTGACCCTACTCTAACCATGACCTAAACCATGTAAATTTAAAAGGGACAATCTCTATTTGTTAGTCGATGTATGTACATATTAAAATGTGAATTTAGTTCAAATATATTTAAATTTTTCAACAATAAAAACCGGGTTGCTTTGTTAATAAAATAACGTTTTAAAAAAAGATGATAGAATATTAGCGTTTTGAATGTGGTTTTTTATACTTTAACATCAGATTTGAGTACTTTTCTCAAGTTTTTAGGCCTATAATTTTATATGGTTCTGAATCAGTGTAATGTATTCTATCATAATCAATAATAAAAACAGGTAAGGGGAGCGGGAATTCGAGTAAAAATCGAGTAGCAAATTTTCTCTTACACTTAGTCATACAAAATAATACAAGTCATAGAAAGTGTCTCTATTTTAATGACGACATAACTGTCAATTAGCGCTCGTGTCACTTATTATGAGTGTAATTCGCGCCAATTTTCGCGATTGCTGATTAGAGTTCCAATAATATCTGTGGTTAAGTTAAAAATTTGTAACTTACTTAAAAACAATCTGTAGTCAGATGTATATGCAGACCCATGATGCTGACAAGTATACGACATATTTCTGACTATACCAAACACAACCTAACGTTCGATCTTTGTACAAGTGCCTCTAGTTAAAAAAATGATCTTGCACTTAGTAGGGAAAAAGCAAACAATGCCCAGCCAGTTAGCTAAATCTCACGCCCTATAAATTGTACGAATATAATCTTTTATGATGTTGTTTGAGGTCGGTGAAGCCAAACCAATGCACAGTGGACCAGAGATCGGCATAAATGCCGAAAATGAGTATTTGTAGAAACTTTTTTTTTTTTGTGCAAAATTTTAAAAATAAATGCCCCACATTAAAAAATTCTGTCGTTTAAATATTTTTATTTTTGTTTTAGGAGTATATTTAAAAAACGTTTTTGTTTAAAAAAAAAAACAAGAAGAGAAAATACTCATAAAATTGAATTTCACCTCATAAGCGCAGTTTTTTTAAATCTAAATAAAATTTTATAGTCTCAATATTAGGGTGCATGCGTTATTTTAGAAAACTTAACAAATAAAAATAACCTTGTACCTTAAACTTTTTTCTTAACTTTAAAAATGACACTTAAAGTATTACAAAATATAATAGAAAGCTACCATAAATAGCTCAAGATCTTTTTTTGCCTACGTTTCCTGAATATGGGAATAACTTTTTTACATATTAAATCTAAATATGCTCTATGCTCTATCTATCTTTAACTATGCTCTGAATCTATCTCTAACTATGCTCTGAATGCAAAAACCAAAACTACGCACTGAATGCAAAAAACAAAATGCATCTCTACCTGCAAAATCAACAACATTGTTCATGATACAAGGCAACAAAATCAAAGAAATTACCAAAACCAGATAACCACTAATCAACCAACGTCTCCAACTGACAACACCAATAAATAACCTAGCACTCAACTGCAAACCATCTTTCAATACCCAATACACTCCGGTACCCAACTCAACAAATAATAAACGGCTGACGAACTCAACATCAAACAACCACAATAGACAACGTACAGCGATTATAATAAGCTAAAAATCTCTTCCGATAAGCCAAAAACCAAAATTACAACAACTAACACAACCAAAAGAAAAGAAACCAGAACAACTCATCTACTGGGCCAATAACCCTTGCTCACTTAATGGCCATAAAATTGACGAACTAAGAGCCAAAATTACCTCAATAGACACTTTACTTCAACCACACATAATTTTTTATTGCCGAAACTTAGTTCACCGACAACCCGACACAAAAATAGCTCGGTATCTACTATTTAAAAAAAAATAGAATCGGAAGAGGAGGAAGAGTGGCCATCTACACAAAGGAAAGCCTCGATTTTTCTTTCACCAAAATTGACCAATTCAACCGCACCACCATTGAGCAAGTCTGGATCAAATTAAAATTTCACGACGAATCAATTTTAATAGGCTGTCTCTACCGTCCTTACGACCTGAACGACTTAACGCTCGATGAAATAATAAGCTCAATAAGTACTGCCTCTGACAAATTCAACACAATTGGCTGCTCAATCTTACTTTCGTACGACGACTTCAACTTCAGTAACACTGTGTATTCAAATGTCGACGTAGGAGGTAGCATTGCGACTGTTGCATACGTACAAAATGATTGGCCAAAAGATATCAATTTTTTTTTTTTTTTTTTTTTTTTATTTAACCATATCCTTAAAATTTATAAATTTTATCGTAAATTAATATAAATTGGTTAGGTGTTAGTTACAAACTAGTCAATGGAGTGACATCTGAAAAACATAAAAATAAATGAATAAATAGAAAAAAAAAAAAGAAACTGACTGTCTTGAAAAAAATCATTTGACCTAGGTGCAAAATTATCGCAGCCAGCCGAACAAACAAGCTAACTCTACGCGAACAACATAAAAAAACAAGCAAAGCAGTAAAAAAATTAGTTAAAACAGCCGTTCTGGATTACGAAATGGAACTGGTAAATAATAGCAGATATGACCCAAAATAATCCACTCGTACGTCAAAAGCAAACAAGAAACACACGATCGCATCCGTCAACTTGAAACAACTAATAATCAAACTACAACAAATCCTAAAGTAATCTGCAACAATCTAAACGAATATTTCCAATCAATTGAACCGCTAGGGTCTAAAATTCAACACTCGTTTCACTAGCATAAACCAACCGACCACACTCGCATCATACAAATCCGTCAAAGAAAAACTTTTGGACCTGAATAAATCCAAATTAATGGGCTTCGACGGTATTCATCCACACGTCCTGAAATACTGTACTGCAGGTTTTGCTATCCCACTAAGCATTATTTATTCTGAATCACTTAAAGCTAGAGAACTACTATTCAATGGAAAAAAGCCTAAATTACTCCTATTTTCAAAAAAGGCTGCAATTTGAACCCCTCGAACTATCGACCTATATCACGCGCTTCGTCCGTTGCAAGGTAATGGAAAGCTTTTTACACAAACACATTACTGACCACTTAAACAAAAACAAATTCATCAGCTCTGCTCAGCACGGGTTCCGAAAAGCAAAAGGTTGCGTCACAAACTACTCGAAACTTGCGACATCCTTACTGAAGCTGCCCGCAAATGTTACCCAACCAATATCATATTCACAGACTTTGTTTAAGCATTCGACAAAGTTTCGCACCGTTGTCTGCTGCACAAGCTAAAATCATATGGAGTGTCCGACAACTTGCACGATTGGATCAAAAGCTGGCTAACCAACTGGCTACAACGCGTAACCATTGGTAACAATAAATCTAATTGGAAAACTGTCTCTAGTGGATAGGATCTGTTCTTGGACCACTCCTGTTCCTTATCTACATTAACAATTTGCCAGACAAAATACAATACCACTTTAAAATGTATGCAGATGGCTGTAAAATAATCGGAACTATAGAATCAAACCATGACATCATAAAACTCCAAGCCGATATCAACGAAGCACTAAAGTGGTCGCACACATGCCTCATGTCATTTAATGTCGAAAAGTGTAAAGTCATGCACACTGGATGCAGCAACAAAAAAATATCAATTGCAATTTATACAATAATTAACCTGGACGGCCAACTGCACCAGCTATCATGCACGTCATCTGAACGAGACCTAGACGTTTTTATAACGAGCGATCTAAAAGTTAAAAAACAAGTCTGTTATGTAAATTTATTTTCGACCATGAATGAATAAACCTAACCTATCATTATTTTGTAGAATGTTAGTCTTTTAAAAATATTTTTCTTTTTAATTCTTTTTTTACAGTGTTTTTAGTTGTTCAAGGCATATTGTTGTTAATGAACTCTAAATAATTAATTGCAATTACGGAAACTAAAAGAAACAAGCAGCCGTGGCGCAGTGGTAGCGCACTTGCCTCAGAAACGTAAGATCCGTGGTTCAAACCCCACCTCTGGGCAGGCTCTGCGACATCGGTTGGGAAGGAGGCGTGAACTTCCTATTAAATGCTCTTCCGCGGTGCTCTGCGATAAGACCGTAAGGACTTCTTGGGGCACCTAAAATCAACATAAAAAAAAAAAAATAAAAAAAAAAATTAAATCTAATGCTATTCTACTTAATTAATTAATGTGTTTTTTTTTATTTATAAGCTTAAACTTATTTCAGTTAATTATCGCTTAAGTTTTTAATTATGTAAATTACGAATACTATTTAAAAACTTTAAAAAACTATAATCATATTTTTAAATTGAATTTTCTCCTACAAATCATTATGAAAAATAAAGAAGTTATTCAAAAGTTGTATCATGCTTTGGAAAACAACTTAATCAAATCAATTACCGACACCCTGATGTTTATAAAGTTACACGGATCTCTGACATAGACTTCAAATTATTTACTAAACATTTTAACAAAAAATGGAATGTAAACAGACACAAGGATAGAATGGAATAAAGTAAACAGACACAAGGATAGATTTGAGTTGCATAACAAAATCTGATTAGAGAAAGAACTACAAACAAGCGATGCATGTTTTGAAGCAGATTAACTACAGAAGAGCCAAAACTCGGGCTTGGCTTTTCCAACTTTTTCTCACAATTTAGGTATAATATTTTTGAAAATTAAAGTAATGGACTTATGATGTTTTTCACTATTTAATTGTGTTTTAGCATATTTTTATACTAAATACAATCATCTGATATTTTAATTTAAACCAGTTGTGTATAGAAGACTACCATGGGGCAAATTTCATACCAATCACCCAAGCTTCTGAAAAAACAAAGAAGACAAGAACAGAAAAACAAACATTGCTATCAAAAGAGAGGAATTATTTTACTCACTGATTTTGAACTAAAGTAGGAAAAAAGGTTCAGCATTGCTAAGGTACATTAACATCAATACTATAGTCATTTTTAATTAATCTTATTTATTAAAAAAAACCCTCCAAAATACTCCAGGTGGTAAATTTTCATAGTTGATTGTATTCACCTCACTCTTCAAGTTTAATTTTTTACACTTAAGGTTGTGAAGCAAATATTAAAATCAAAGAACGATAGTGTAGTTAATTCAACAACAGTGTATACTGGAGAGAAATCATTAGCTTTGATTTTAGACTGTCGATTTAGTAAAGCCGATTACCAAACAATTCGCATTGGAGCAGTTTCTAAAGGAAACAAATTGTACCCAACTTAAAATGAAGTAAGGGAAAAAAAAGATTTTTGCATACCTCGTTTTGGAATACAAACTACTGATTATCCAGCCTCAGTTGGTTTACAGAGCCTTATTGACCATACTACATACAGTTTGTAAAAAATATTCAACGAACCTGGCTCTTGAGCAATCCATTCTTGTCTTTATACACAAAGTAGAACTTGACGGTTTAACCGGAAAATCATTATACAAAGAAAATACAGAATAGGAGATAAGTATCAGTTATGTTAAGCAACAATCTTTATTTCTATCCTGCATCGTTCAAACTAAACTTTATATTGAAGAATCTGGCAAATCACTATGAAAAACCATCCTCTACATTTTACTGTCGTCCAGTATGATTTCAATATGAAAAAGAATGTGCTGAGATTATTACACAAGAATATATTTCTTTTAAGA